TATAGGCATGCAATGAGGGTCTATGTCTTTTAAATCACCCTGTAGGGCTCAAGGTGTGGTCTGCGGCTGTCTGTGCTCCTTCTGCTCAGCAGACCCAAGCCATACCTTGCTAACTTCTCCCTGAGTCCTGTATCCTCACCATGCAAAAAGCACAACCTGTGCCCTTAAGCCAGTGACAAAGAGCCACCGAGTGGTACAAGTCTTTTCAGCCCTGGGAAAATTCGGACCCTGTCCCAATCTGCACTATGAGTCACTCGGGGTTAGACTGTGCCAATAACCTGAAGGCCTCCTCACTTCCTCTCAGCCCTTGGGGCCCCGGTCACTCAGGGGATTCTTTAGCCTCTTCCTAGGAGCAGACAGTGGGAGCCGGAGGACCAACACCTCAGTCTTCTCAACCTCAGGTAGGGCCAGGAGATAACAGGAGCTGTGTGTGCTATTCTCCGCAGTCTCCTGAGACACAGGGTGAGGCTGAGACTGGGGTCCAAGGTGGTGACTGCGCAGTGCTACCCCTTGTGGGCATCTCTCTCCTTCTCCATCTGCCTTTCTGGCTCTCCTCTCCGAGCTCTTGGCCCACCGTCCAAATCAACACCTGCACCCAAATATGTGACTAGGGGTCATCTTCTGGGGCTCCCCACCTAGGCCAATGCTGATGCCCCTTCTTCTGCTGCAGGCTCTGCAGCCACCATAACACCCACAAGTGTCAAAGGTTCAAATCAGAGAAAACTTCCCAGAAGGCGCAAGCCAGGAGCCCAAGGATGATAGCAGGAGTCTTACCACACAGTGCGCTGAGATCTGTAAAGGCCCCAGCAATGAAAGATCCAAGCTCCTCACGAGCAGGGAGACACCCTGGTGCAAGGGCTTAGCGCTGACAATCTGCCAAGCCATGAACTGCAGATCAGAAGAGCCAGAGCTCTGCGCTCGTGGCAGAGGTGGAGTTCTGCTTCCTGTCCTGCTCTGTGGAGAAGGGCCCTGTAGGCCTCACAGGTAGTGGCTGCTGGTATGTCAAAGCTCACCTCTCTGCCTGGCTTCCCTGGAATCTCTGCGACCTGACCTCTGAGGAAATGGAGTCCAGGACTGTGAATGTCAAGTGGCCTAGGACAGATACCAGGAAGAGCCGGCTTTGGACCAGAGACATCTTCAATGAAATCTCTCTCTGCCTCTACTTATCTGTGTGATTCTGGATAAACTAAATCTCAGTTTCATCATTTATAAAATAAGATTAATGATGTCTGTGGAGCTATTGAGTAGATTACATGAACTAATGTATGTTAGGGCCTAGTCCTGTGTATCGTATCCAATAATGTGTCTCACAAACGTTAATTCTCTTCCCTGACTTTATCATAGCAGTAATATTCAGCTGCTAAGAACTCACATCCTGGATAATGGGTCTGTGTACTAACAGTTTTCACAAACCCCGCCTCCTCCGTCAGACTGTAAGCCAGGCAGGTGTCAGGTGAGCCTCCCTAATTGGGTCAACAGCCATTATTTGGTAAGCTCTGTCCTCCACCTGGCCTTTGCCTTGGTAATCAAGGTCCTGCGGAGACTGCCAGGCTTATTCTGAGTGGATCCCATCAGTAATTTGCTGTAATGGATGGAGTGCTTCAGACTGCCTGTGTGATTGTGGTGAGTGCTGCCAGAGTGGTGGAACGACTGCATTTAGAAAATTCAGACTCACAGGGAACACAGCACTGCCCAAACCACCATCGTTCCAAAATTAGACCTTTCCTCCACTCCATCATTACATGGCTAAGCAGTCAGAACACTTCCTGAATACGAACCACAGAGCAGAACTGATTTATAAACATCCACATGTGTAGATGGGTGGCAGAGGCAGAAGGGAGCCCGGGCTTGGCCTCAGACCAGGTACAGGCTCCTCAGCCAGAGCTCCAGCACAGCGCTGCTCCCCTTCTTCCACAGGGACAGGAAAGGACGAGTCTCTTAGGACACAGAGGCGGGAGTGTATTTTGGTTCACAGACTTGCCAGATTGTAAGGGCCAGTTGTAGTGCATGTTAAACACTAATTCAGGCACCTGGTTCTTCTAGAAAGACACTGGCTGGCTGTACCTCACTGCCCAGGTTGCGTACAAGACCAATTAGATCCGAGTCACTGGAGGTGGCACTCAGAACTGGGGCTCCGGAAAGCGCTCTCGGGGCTAAGGCCCAGCTAAATGGAGAACCAATGGCCCAATTATTTGTACAGCCAGGCAAGCCTGGGAAATACAAGTTCAGGAGTAAAAGCCTTTAGATGGACCAAGTATGTCTTTCATTCAGCATCATCAGTCTCAAACTGAGAGCCCCCGCTGGGGTAGGCAGATAAAATGGGCTATGACGGTCGTTTCCAAGCAGCTGTACTGAAATCTAAGATCATTAGAATCACTTCAATTATTTTTTTCTAGCGCAGTTGCCCAGAATTCAACTCGGATTCACCAAGCCACAGCTCCATGTTTTCTGAAGGTTCCTGGATCACTTGAGGTCTAGAACCACTGACCTCAGAAAATGTGTAATAGATCAAATCATCTAATAAATACGTAGTAGGCATGCGTGACTGAGCTCCACTGTAAGGCAACTTTATGGCGACTGAGCGAGTCTAGAAGCCTTATATTTTTAAAAAAGCTTTCATTAGTAAAAGATGCTGGGCTGATAAGGGAAAATTGAAAAATACGTGTTGTTCTACACGTCCAACCTGGTGTTCCCTTAACTCCTGAGCCCTTAAACAGAGGATGTGATCCTGAAGCTCCACGGTTCCAACTAATTCCCTCATATCGGGCCATTTCTCACCAAAGCAAATAAGACGCAGGCTCCCTCCCGGTCCCAGTCACCACAGCGGCACAGGAGGCTGAATCTAACCCTAAATCCCCAGCGCCTTCGCAGCTCCTGCAGGCCAGCGGTTTCCTGTGCAGGCGCCCCCTGGTGACTATGCGGGGGATAATTTCTGATTAGGAAAAGAGCCGCGGGCCAGGAGGGCCTTTGCGCCGCTTCCGGCGGTGGCCCGGGTGAGCAAGGCCTGGGTTTATCTCAGTGAGGGCTTCTCAGAGACACGAATTTCTCAGCGAGCCTCCGAAATTTTATTTTCAATGCTGCCAAGGGCAGATTAAATGGCTACATGAATGGGAAAATGCAGGAGGCTTTGAAACAGATGGTTGGCCGTGCCTGCTCAGAGCCGTGCCAAGCGCTGGATTGTCTTGCCATATGAATGAAAATCCCACGGCGGCAGGGTTTTTATTTCTCCGACCTATGGATGACAGCGGCTCCCCTGTCCCCCTGGCAGCAGGGCCTGGAGCAGTTACCCGCTATTATTCGCTTCCCATCAGGGCTCAGCTTCTTGCCTGTCTGGATTTTCCTGGTTCCTTTCTCTGAAAGGGAGTGTCATTCTAGACTAATTTCCTGATGGTGTAAATGATTTAGCAGGGCTGATGAATATCAATAGAGCTGCAGATGGGTGTAAGGCTCCTAATGAATGTGACAGCCACCGGTGCCAAATACTTTTCCAACTTGCATTTAGGATGAAAACAAGCTTGAATAATACTCACAAAGGGTATGTCTTTAATTATGCATCATAAATTTGAAAGACAGTAGTCAGGGGTGTCCGCAAAGTGCGGCCAGAGGAGGAGGTGTGGACCCCGCCCCATCCTGAAGGCGCAGGAGCCAGAGAGACCTGGGTTCAAATCCCAGCGCTGCTACTGAGGCACAAGCTGTGTGAGCTGCGATACGGTACATAACTTTTCGAAGACTGACTGTAAAACAGAGATAGTAATCCCTGTCCCTGGGGATTTTAAAAATAAGGAGCATGAGAAAGTGCAACATTACTGACATTCATATTTTAACAAACAGTTACTAGGTACCTACCATGTGGGAAAGTCTAGCTGAGTCCTGGGAATCAGAGAATCCTGGAAATGCCTGACTGAGCCGGATGGCCTGGGTAGGACACGGGGAGGGCCAGCTACAGGCAATAGTGTCACGTCTGTAATGAATTTAAGAGTACTAATGAAGCTGACTCAATGTTGGTCTGCTTTTTAATATCAGTAATTTTAAAAAACATCAGTGATCAAATTCTTTCCCTCAAAAGTCTTTTTGGCCCAGAATTATCTAGAGAATGTGATGTTACTGGTGAATTTTAAGAGTGTGTGTATGTGAAATTTGTACTATCCTGGGTAATTTGATCACTTACCCTCTACTAAATATTGTATTCTATAAGGAATTTAATTTGAAAATTCCTAGTTATTCCGGGTACCTCCCAGCACTTTACCCCTAAAACATAAGGACTCAGCCCTGGGAGTTTGTTGTAGAGCAAATTTGTGAGGTTCCAAGGTGTTGGTGAAGGCTTTGACTCTGGTGGCAGAAACACCGTCTCTTCCTGATGTAAGCAAAAGATTCAGAATAAACAATGGTAGCTCAGGGATTGTAGGAACAAGGACACAAAGATTTGAATTGCATCAATTCTTTCTTTTCTGTGTAGCCACTTGGAGATTTTGTTTCAAATATACAATCAGGAGATCCTGAACTTTGAGGTGTAATTATTTTTGTCTGTCCGATTTGTTCCCATGTGAAATAGTTTTCCAAAATTGACTCTTTAACATTGAAATTTACTCTTGTTTTTAAGTTGGTATTTGTTTTCAAACTAAAGAAAGAGTTGAGAAGAAGATGACTGCTACTAATTATTATATGATAATTTTGGAAAATAGCTTTAGCATGTAGAAGAGGAGATGTTCAAAAATGATCTTCTCTAGATATGTCACTGTGATGGAATAGACACTAAATTTTGATACATATGATGGACATAAAAGGGGATTCTTCGCAGAACAGTCTTCTGAGATGGAAGGTAGAAATTCATACCGTGTTATCAGGCAAAGGGTCTGTCTGCTGTCCACACAACAGTCCCCACCTAGTCCAGAGACAAGGCAGGGGTAAGATACTTGTTAGGGTGAGTTAGCTGAGTGGAAGGAGGCACCCGAAGAGAGATCTTTAACAACAGCAGCAACTGAAGAGGTGACACAGGACACGCTGAGAGTACACTTTTAGCCACACATCATGGGCACAGCGCAATCATTGCTCCTGCCGTGGTCCTTCCTTCGACGCATACTCTGATGCAAGGGGAAAGAAAGCAAAAAGCAAATTTGTAAAGGATAATTCGCAAAGGGCAGGTAAACCCATTAGGTGGCTTTACCTGAAAGAACAAAGTATCTGTAGTCTTTTGAACATCTGATTCTATGTTTTTTTAAAAAAAGTAATAGTGGACTAAGACGTATCTCTATAATGAAGTGCTTGTCTAGCATATGTGAGGCCGTGGGACCAATCCCCAGTACCATACACACAGGCAAATGAGTGTGTACACACACACACAGATACTGTCACTGAGCCTTTCCCATAGGAGTGGCATATAGCTGGCATCTTGCACATTTTACAGAAAACGTTCACCAGCACTGTGAGGTTGGTATTATCCCAATGTAAATGATGGAGAAATCTAGGCTGGGAGAAACGTGCCCGTGGTCACAGCGCTCGTGAGTGCTGCAGCTGGGGCTGTCACTGGATTACCTGTTTCTCAGCTCCTTGTCTTAGCCCTCACACCAGAAGGAAACTCAGACAATTTAATTCCTGACTTAAGGCTTAAGGGTTACAAAGGGACTTTGTTTTCTAAACTATGATGCAATGAGTGAAGCTACTCCCACCCCTGAACCAAATCAATCTCGGAGCTGAAATGCTGTAGAGGAATTACCCAGAATTTCTTCACGCAGAGGGTGTGAAGGCCCCAAGGCCCTGAAAAATTACTGGACCGAGGATCCCACAACTACTGCTGGATGAAGAAGTTGGGCTCCAGGGCTGGGGGTGTAGTTCAGGGTACAGCACGTGTCAGAGAGCGGAGAAAGGGGAGGGACGAAGGGAAAGAAAGAGACTAAAGGAAAGAAATTGGGTTTCTGTTCCTTTACACCATTCTACCTCTGGGCCTAAATCACAGACAATCGGCTGCTTTTCCTTCCCAATTCGCCCACTTTCTTATTTCCCTGGATGTTGGCTGGGAGCAGGGAGAGTGCAGTTGTGTGAAGCTTTAGCCGGAGGCGGCAGGCTGACAGTATCGCTGATGGAAAGAGAAATGCGTGGATCAAAGTTAGTGCAGGTTCTCTGGCTGGCTGGGATTCTGGAAACCAGCTTTCCTCCTGGGCTACAGTACTTTCCCAGACACTGCTTAATACGGACGATGTGACAGTAAAGTCTCACCCCGAGGAGAATGTATGTGCAGTTATGCTCCTTCTTCTCTTGAATGATTCTGTCGTAAGAGCCTTCTGTCACTTTATTATAGCCCAGCTTGTCTGCCTGGCTTTAGAGAATTCCTATTTCTCCATCTAAAATAGGTGAACTCCGACTCCCATCATTCTGAAACTGTGGTGCACCTGACTATTGCTAAATGCAAGTTCCTGTGGCTGGGGATTTAGCTCAGCGGCAAAGCGCCTGCCTGGCAAGCGCAAGGTCGTGAGTTCGGTTCCCGGTACCGGAGAAAAACAAAAAAAACAAAAACTAAATGCAAGTTCCTGGGTTTCACCCACTGTGTTCTGAACCTCAAATCTGAGTGCAGACCTTGAATCTGCGTTTTCAGTGAAGGTTATTTGCAGGTTTCCCACATTTTAGGTCCCACTTTGAGATACCCAGAAGCAATGGCATATTCTCAAATCCCCCTTCCTTTTGTAAATGACAGGCCCTTGGTAAGTATCTGCTTTAAGGCCACCTCTATCTTGTACTGCATTGGTAGATTATTTGGAAAATTTTGTGGCTACTCAGGCTAGACCTATTTTAATGGTATTGATTCTACTGTCATTCTTCTCAGAACTGTTCATAGTTTTTGCTTCAAAGATCCAAAGGTTGCATATAAAGCGAGAAGCTTCTTAATCAGCAATCTGGATTGGAAAACCATCTGCAACCTTTCATAAATATTTCACATTAACTGTTAGGAAATAAATGGAAAGGTAGAATAAGTAACAATCTATTTGTAGCTACTTCTAACAACAACAAAATAAAGCTTAAAAGAAACATTGAATTTCCCTTTCCTCGTGATATGGAAGCCTTTTAATATTTGCAGTTTCAAAACAGTTGATTAGAAAGATTCATAGAACTCAAATTCAAAGGAAATCCAACAGTCACTTTTGAAATAATGAGACCTTCCAAGCATAAAAAAGGTGGCAAAAACTGGAATCTAATATAGTCTAGGAAATCTTGGACCTGCTCTTATAATATAAAATAAAATTCAAGGGTTCTTCCAGTTTTTGTGACAGTTATTTAGGGTTAGGATTGTCTTAAAAGACAAGAAAAGCAATAGGAAGCATACGTTTAATCTGTCAATAGCTTGTAAAATGAAATAAAATTAACAGAAGACATGGTGATTTGCTTTCTAAATCATCACAGAACATCAGGCAAGAATTTACCAATTATCATAGCATCTCTTGGCATTAGTGGACTGCTAGAAGGTTTTACCCACTATTTTTTAAAAAAATTCCACCTGCGAGTTCATTTCTGATATATTTCATAATCCAAAATATTGTATACCAAAATGACGTCACTTTCAAGTTTTGTGAATAAAAGTAAATTTACTTCCCCCTTTTACACAAATTTCATCTAAAATCTAAGGCAAATTATTTCAAACCACCTTGCACATAATTCAAATTACAAAATAAGAATTAAAAATCAAAACCCTCAAAAATCTCTTTTCATGCTCTTCCAACCATGCCGTGTCCAAAGCTCTCTAAACTTGGTACTGTATCTAAATTTTGTGGAAATACCAGTGACCCTTGAGCTGTCAGTCAGAGAAACACTTTGTTGGTCATCTCGCAACTGCTTCAATTTAAGACTGCCCAAATGAAGAATAATATTAGAACCAATCTCCTAGCTTCAAATGGAAAGCTCTAAATCCCAAGACAAAAAAGGGGAAGACAATATTACATTTTAATTTCCCTTGATGTTAAAGAATTTCTGAAGAGATGCTGGTCTAAAAATAGTGACTAGCAAGTATCCAGAACTTAACAGATTTATGTTTTTCAGCATGAACCACAGTGGGAATAAAATGGAAGAAAAATCAACTTCAGAGCATAATCTAGATAAGATCTCTTACCAACTGGGGAAAATAGCTTTTTTCATAAGAGGGGCTGGTTAATTTCTTTTTCAGAAATAATGCTAAATATGAAGATCTCTGTCACCCGCATTTCCAGGAAGAAAAGGAAATGGGACAAGAGAACGTTACCTTGTGTTATTTCGTGGTAACTTGTATTTAATTTTCTTGTGTTTATAGGCAAAATAGCCATTTGGCAATTGATCTAAATTAACAAAGTGTTCCTATCCTAGATGCATAATGGTGCTCTTTAAACATTTCCTCACATCAAAGTAATTGCAGAGGATCGTACTTTAACTCAGGCTTTAGTTTTGAGCCCCAGGTGGATGCTTTCTCTGGATCTTTCACCCTTTGTTGATGCCATTTTTAATGTGGTCTTGCAGAACCCTGATGTTTGCAATTGCTCAGAAAGGTGCTACAGGCTGAGGCGCTGCTTGGAGGAGCTTGCCGCCTTCCCCATCTGAAAAAGTCTGGACCACAGCTGATGAAAATCACAGCAGGCTGAAGGTCAGAGGATTAGTCCTAAGCCTTCCACCCCACTTGTGTGATTTTGTCTAAGTCATTTAACTTCCTGGGGCTTCAATGCCTGTGTCTATAGAAGGGGCAGATTGACTCATTCCTTTTAATGTCACCTTTCCAGATTATGTGACATATCATCTGCAAAGTACACCCACTAGTCAAGAGAAAGATACAAACCTCTGAAAAACAGCAGCACCTATGGCTTCTGAGGATAATAGCTAACATTCACTGAAGACCTACAATGTGCCGAGCAATATGCTAAGCACTTTATACCTACCACGCTATCAAAAAAACAGAAAAAAAATTTAAATACTATGCATTTTTGTGTAGAACCAAACTTCCATTGCTTTTACTGCTTTATTTAGCTCACACAAACTTTATTTAGCTCACACAAACACAGTCTAAACTATCCCACTCTTTTGTGACCTTTTTGGCATCTGTACCTCTAACCTCTTGAAAACTCCGCTTGAGGCAAGTACAGCATAGCTGGATCAGACCATGTAACTGCAAACTTCAACTATTTATGGTAGTCAAACTGTTGCTAATAGAAACTTTTTGATTGTTAAAAGTAAACTGAACTATAATAAACAAAATATATGTGCTGGTAATTCTGAACCAAATCTGTTGGTAATTTCTCATGAATAAAAATATGTTGCAGATGTGGCAGGTCCAAAAAGAAAACTTTAAATCTCAGTCCCATTCTTAATTACTTTTTACACTGAAGCATAGAATAAAAAAAAAACCTAAACATTCTGGAGCTCACTTTCTTAGTCTTGAAAAAATGTGCGATTCAATATTTAGGGAAATCACTTTAAATTGTGAATATTAATTTAATTTTACTTTTAAAAGCTAAAAGTTTTGTTCAGCAAAAAGCAAAGCACACATACAGATACACTCCCATGGCGCCTTTCCCACTGCCCCAAATAGTAAGCTGAACTACCTACCCTCAGCTCCAGCACAATGAAAAAAGGAAGATGTTAGTTACTTTTATTCTTTCCATAATTTTAAACACTTGAAGATGCAGTGTAAGTTATGAACGTTAAACCTATCTGGTCAGAGTTAGGCTGGAGGGGTCTGAGGCAACGATGGGGGGATGAAAGAAAAGCTATGAAGGTAGAATTTTGTCTTTTCCTGGGACTCAGTGCAGACGAACCTCCACCTTCTTCAGTCTCCGCACGCTCGTGACACTGAGGAAACACACCGCGAAGGGAAGAGAGTGCGCGGGGCGTGTGCTTTGCTTCTCTCTCCTTGCAGATCTCACATAAGTAATTCACAGACCGCCTATGTGCCCAAATTGTTCCAACTACTCAGAGGAAAGCATCGTTTGTAAATATGCAAGTGTGTCTTCCCAGAGATGGGTCCGGGACCCACCTACTCAAACATAGGCAGGCAGGGAGTGAGCTTTCTACAGCACCCTTCTAGCAGACTACTACAGGTTACGATCTGAGGGGTCCAGGCTAGGGCGTTTGC